TGATGTTCCGGAATGCCACCATTACTTTATGACAACTTAAGTATGTACCTCGGAGGCCAATACATAGGTCCATTAGTGCCAATCCACTTCTCTGGGAAGGTGACCTTCAGATGTTCTCTTACCGCATGAAAATTTCATTATTAGAAACTGTATATATCTTTCCGCAGTAAGTTGTCAATCGAAAGTTATTGGCACCAAAAGTTGTTCTCCGATAATACCCATCCAGCAACTGAAACCAGATCACTCTTGAAAATGTTCTTCTTGCATTAGACGTAAGTTTGTTTGTGACCTGTGTACCTCTTATTATTTAGTAAAAAGCCAGTTGCAATAAGCTTCGGTTGTGGTCGTCAACGTAAAGATGTTGGTGTAATTGGTATTTGAGTGATCGTTAATTTGTTTGTGAAGAATTCTCCAAACGGATGAATAACTTATGCCACATTCTAGAATAGTGTGACGAATCATACTGTTGGCGCCATCTGTTAGACGAGTCTCCTACTCGCTAGAGCTTCATGGCCGATCTCTGCTTTTACGCGAATCACGACCGCACCAGCCACCTGGCGGCGGATCGCCATCTAGATCGACGCGAAGCAACCTCGACTATTCGGGAAGGCCGCTAGATGGCTCCCGATTCTTCTAGACTCAACGATGCGGACTATATAACTCGGCGGCCGGGAGATGGGAGAGTTCGGAATACGGTAGAGCAGAGCAGAGTGAAGTGTCCAGTCAGTGGTGCGACATAAGAATTAGTTAGACGTAAATAGTGGTGTATATAAATGTTTTATCCAGTTAAATAAGTTAGTGCATTTCTTTTTGTGGAATCCAGTGTTTTAATTCACACCCAAAAGAACCCAGAAAAACGCTACATTGGTATCAGGTGTGGGGTGTGGACTTTAGGACATTCTGTGAAAATAAATCGGACGATCAGTGAAGGAAGAATGGCGCGATTGGTTGATTTGAAAATTTCCGATTTAAAGAGAGAGCTGGAGGAAAGTGAGTGTGACACGGCCGGAAGGACAGCAGAATCACAGGAGCGGCTTCGTCAAGCACTGATTGAGGAAGGTGAGGACCCAGATATTTACATTTTTAGCGGTGCAGGGGATTTTGGATTAATGCTGCAAAACCTTTCGACCAAGTTAGAAAACAAACTCGTTGAAAACTGTACCAACCTAGAAGGAAAGCTCGTGGATAATTGTGCCAACCTAGAAGGAAAGCTCGTGGAAAATTGTGCCAACCTAGAAGGAAAACTCTTGGAAAGTACAGCCAAATTAGAAGAGAAGTCTATTTAAAATACTGCCAATTTAAAGTGAGAATTAGAATTTAAAATTATGGAAGAATCTTGCGAGTTGAAAAAACGAATTTTTACCTTGGATGACAGAATTCAACAAGTGCAAGGCAAGTTTGCCGCTTTAGGCGTCAAGACCATCGACAAACGGCAGCGTGGACTTTCGTCGAATAAATCAAGTGAGGTTTGGAGCTTGGTGTTTGATGGTACAACACCTTGGAATGTCTACCGACGTCAGTTTGAGGCAGCCGCGAATGCAAATGGTTGGTCATCGACCGAAAAGGCAACTGCACTCACTTTGGCCCTACGAGGAGATGCTGCAGCTATCCCTCAAAGAATATCACCAGAAGAACAAGAGGTCTACGAACAACTAGTAGGCCATTTGGAGATGCGATATGGCCAGTCACATTTAGAACAGGTCTACCATGCTCAACTGAAGAATCGGTTCCAGAAGTCAGGCGAGTCCTTGCAGAAGTTCGAAGCGGATATTGCGCGGTTGGTACGATTAGCATATCCCGATGTTCAGGAAAGGATAATGAAGCGATTGGCAGTTCAATCAATCCTAGATGGACTTCGTGATGGTGAAATGAGGCAAGCCTTACTACTGGCACATCCACCTAAGCTAGTAGATGCGCTAACTTGGGCGCTAGAATTCGAAGCCGCTAAAAACACAAATATATGCCAGGAACGAGTCCGGCAGATGGTACCAGGAGATAATGAGTTCGAAGAGTCCATCAAGCGCATTATTAAGGAACTTGATGGTGAACGACGTCGCCAGAACAGCAAGTTGGAATGTTGGAAATGTGGGAAAATGGAGCACGTTAGGAGACGCTGCTTAGAGGATGGTAAGCATTACCAGCCTCTCAGAGCGGAAAGATGCCCAATATTGAGAACCACTATCATTAGTGATACCTGGCAAAATGAAGACCTCGTTAAAGACTAAGAGGGAGATCCCGATCTTCGAATAATTCTAAAGTGGATTAAGGAAAAACGGAAGCTAGCCTGGGAAGCAGTTGCCACGTATTCCCCTATCATAAAATCATATTCGGCACAATGGAATTCTCTCGTTATGGTCGACGGACTCTTACTGCGTAAAATGGTGGACCAAGATGGCAAAGAGGAAATAAGACAAATCGTTATCGCCAGATGTCGGATCCCGGAGCTGCTAGAAGAAATCCATTCCGGTGTAACAGGAGGTCGTCTCAGAGTTACAAAAACCCTGGGAAAAGTGAGGGAAAGATTTTACTGGGTCAATAGCGAGGAAGACGTGAAAGACTGGTGCAGGAAATGCGTTGTGTGTGCGGCAAGTAATGGACCACAAAGGGAACCAAAAGCTCCGATGCGCCAATACAAAGAGTGGAGCCCCTTTGGAAGGATTGCTATTGATGTGGCGGGACGCTTTCCAGAATGTGAAGCTGGAAATAAATACGTCGTTGTAGTAATGGATTACTTCAGCAATTGGGTTGAGGCATACGCTCTGCCAAATCAGGAAGCCTCTATCGTAGCCGATGCTTCAGTAAAGGAATGGATCTGTCGACCTTTAAAGTTGCATTCGGACCAAGGGCACAATTTCGAGTCAAATATGTTCCAAAATATCTGTCAAATTCTAGGGATTAAGAAGAAAAGGACTACAGCCGTACACCCGCGTCAGATGGAATGGTGGAGCGCATGAATAGGACCATTGACCGGTATCTGGCTAAGGTAGTCTCTAAGCCATCAAAGAGACTGGGATAGTTTTCTTCACCTCTTCTTATTGGCTTACCGATCGTCGATTCATGAAAGCACAGAAGAATCGAATAGTTATGGGAAGAGAACTTCGTCTCCCATGCGATCTAAAGTTTTAGTGTCCACCAGGAACTGATATTGCCGGAGAAGGCTACGTAAGTGAGCTGCTTAGAAGGATGGACGCCATCCATATCCAGGTTAGTGTTTTAATTCAAGGTCCAGTGACCGGATGAAGGAAGCTTATGACGTTAATGCCAAAGACCAGAGGTATGACAAAGGTGATACGGTTTGGCTTTACAACCCAAAGAGGCGAAAAGGGCTGTCGCCTAAGCTTGATCATCCTGGCACGGGCCATACAAAGTTCTGGAGGCCATCAGCGATGTTCTCTACAGGATTCAGAAAGCACCACGCAGTAAAGCCCGAATTATACATTTCAACCGCCTTGCACCTTATTATGGAAACAACGAAGATGCGGCGGTGCGGCAAGTCGAACCAGAACCGGATATGACATTTGACCAATTTATGGCTCACCATGTTAATGGCCATAAGAGTCGGTATGGCGTGACATATGAAGTACAGCAAGATCTGTTTACCACTTCACCAGAGTATGCCCTGGCACACTGTGTGGCTCAAGACTTGCGAATGTCGAGAGCTATAGGAAAGGGCTTTCTTAGGAAGTTTGGAAAAGTACACGAGCTACGACAGTCTGACCCAGAAGTTGGAGAAGTACTTCAGATAACTGAAGGGTACCAACCGAAAGATCTTCTATCTGGTTACCAAGAAAGCTTCGTATCAGACACCGAATTACGAAGATGTTTGGAACGCTTTGTGTTCGCTTAGAGAAGTCTTGCTTGCCGAGGACCTGAGCAAACTGGCAATACCTAAGCTGGCATGTGGACTGGACAACTTGGACTGGAGAATCATCCGAAGCATGCTTGAGGTAGTCTTCCGGTATCACAGGCATTCGATTTCTGGTATGTTGTCACAGTCCTAGACGGCTACCTCCTGGAAAGAGTGTGGATTGTTACTTCTTCAAGATCTCCTACTGCAAGAGAGGGCCGTGGTGCCGATATCGACATCTACCGGCAGTAAGTTTATTTCGGGACGGAATGACTTTAAGGAGGCGGCAGTGTGATCATACTGTCGGCGCCATCCGTTGGGCGAGTCTCCTACTCGCTAGAGCTTCATGGCCGATCTCTGCCTTTACGCCAATCACGACCGCACCAGCCACCTGGCGGCGAATCGCCATCTAGATCGACGCGGAGCAACCTCGACTATTCGGGAAGGCCGCTATATGGCTCCCGATTCTTCTAGACTCAACAATGCGGACTATATAACTCGACGGCCGGGAGATGGGAGAATACGGAATACTTTTAGAGTGAAGTGTCCAGTTAGTGGCGCGACATAAGAATTACTTAGACATAAATAGTGATGTATATAAATGTTTTATCCAGTTAAATAAATTAGTGCATTTCTCTTTGTGGAATCCAGTGTTTTAATCCACACCCAAAAGAACCCAGAAAAACGCTACAATAGTTCGACAAACTGACGCTGTACTTCATACATAGGCTAACACGTCTATTCCTTTTTCTTCACTGACGATAAAGTTATTGGGACTTTATTCTGGTTAATTTCTCATTTTCTGTTCCAGTTTTGGAAAATAATGTCGAGTGGGATGGCTACGATTGGGTAATCTCAGAGAATAAATTCAAGCTGCCTCAGTTGCATTTTTTATTGCTTCCCCGTAAATCAACAGCGTGTCAATTTTCTCGTTTCTAGTATAGTTTTCCATTGTAAATTAACTGCGTAACAAATTTTTAAAACTGACACTATTTTTAATAACCCTAGCAACACCTTCAATTTTTTGTCACGGATAACGTGATAACTAGATGTACTTTGAACTAAAAAGATTGAAGTTAATACCGCAGAATGTTGAGAACTTTTGGTAATAATCCAGATATACCTCACTTGTTTCAGATTGCACTCTACAAGTATGAGAAGGTCCTCAATTTTAAAGTCGCAGAACTCGGAGCCGATGATAGTGGTCGAAGATGAGAGAGAAGACGAAAAAACGAACAGTTCATCTAGGCAGAGTTCCGAAGATGAATCTACCTCCTTGAATCCTTTCTTGTTGTCTCCTTATGCGCGGGAAATCAGAAAGCATTCTCTGCCCACGCCCCAATGCAGTGGTAAGTACAATTAACATTATAATCAAAAACTCCACGCTTTTGAAAAAACACTCAAAATCTCTGAAATAGTGGCATAGGAAGTAAAACATTAAACTATCTATTCGCCACTGGCATAGCGGTCCGTAGGACCTTTGCTCTTGGTTGAAGTCTTGTAAGTCAGTAGGTCTGTCACTTCTGGTTGCCCAGATACCAAACAAAGTGAGAGAGAAAGAAGGGAAGAAGAAAGGAAGGAAGGAAGGAGGGAAAGCAAAGAAGTGCGTCAATTTGAGGAGTGCCTTGGCATTGCTAATTAATGTTCGGCAATTTTAAATTGTTCCTAAAATTAATTTTGAGATTGGTTGTTGAAGAAAAATTATAATTTTGGTTGGACCTAAAGTCGCACGATTTAATTTTGTTCGCAGTGCGAGTCACGGCCTTGTGTGCTTGCGAACTTGCTCGACTGGGTAGTCTACTGACTTGCGCAACAAAGAGTTGTTATGCGATTCCGCTTGACTATAACGTGGCTGCGCTTGTTTTTTGATGTAGTCCCTTACATAAAGAATATCAAGGTCTCTGTGAAGGGTCTCGTTGGAAAAATACCATGGGGCGTTAGTGATTGTACGCAGGGTTCCGTTCTGCAAAACCTGCAGGCTACGCAAATGCGTTTTGGCGAGCAAACACCAATCCGCACTTGCGTAAGTGATCGCTGGTCTAACAACCATCTTGTATAGCCGAACTTTGTTGATCAAACTTAATTTTGATGTTCTACATAGCATAGGGTAGAGTTGCCGAAACGAGATTTGGAATTTAGCTGTTAACGCTTCAGTGTCCTTCTGCCAGGTCATTCCCTTGTCAAGAGTGACACCGAGATACTTAGCAGAGCTTTGCCATGGTACCCGAGCTCCATTCACTGAAACCTCAGACGTGGCGACGCTACGTTCTTTAGTACAGTAGATTGCCTGCGTTTTCGAATGATTAATTTTGATCAGCCACCGATTCGCCCATTCCAATACCTCGTCCACTGCACTTTGCAGCCTGTCGTGAACTAGATCCCCAGAGCGCGGCTGGGCCACCAGGGCAGAGTCATCAGCATAGAGATAGATTTCACGGTGGCTGGGGCAAGGGACGTCATGAATGAAAAGTGAATAAAGGTCTGGTCCAAGAACCGAACCCTGAGGGACACCGGCTTTAATGGGCCGTGTTGTCGACATAACGTTATTAATTTTGATCCGAAATTTCCTACCCTCGAGGAAGGATTTCAAAAGTTTTAGGAGCCAGAAGGGGAAGCCCTTATGGATCAATTTGTAGAGAAGGCCCTTGTGCCACACCTTGTCAAGTGCCTTTGAGACACAAAGAAGCAAGATGCCAGTACTTTCGTTATGGGTGAACCCCCTGGTTATTCATTCAACAAGCCTTTTGGCCTGTAGCTCCGTACTATGCTCAGACCGAAAGCCAAATTGCACGTCTGCCGAGAAATTTTCAATATATACATAGAATCACCTTTTCAGCGAGCTTAGAAGGACCTGACAGTAGACTAATGGGGCGATAATCCTAGGAGAATATCGACCCACCTTCTTTGGAATCATTATGATATCGGCGGTCTTCCACGCCGTTGGAAAGTGCTCGGTCCTTAGCATGGCATTGATTATTGGACTTCCGCGAAAGTAGCTTCAGCGCCTTATTAGTGATTCGATCCTTTCCAGGTGCTTTATGCACCTTGAGGTCTTTAATATGACCTTAGAGCTCTGCTGATGTGCCATGCAGCTCTTTAGTTGAGGAATCTTCTGAAGATTCCTCTGAGTAAAAATTACTAAGGGAGGCACTACTGCCACTGACCCCGTTGGCCCTAAAATATCTCCTGACGGATCTTACAATATGTTGCTCCTCGTCGAGGTCATTATCAAGGTCATAGTTGGGAGAGAACTGACTTTCAATTGCATCAGCGAAAACCTCGACCTTTTCCTCTGTCCTACAGACTATGCCCCTGGGACCGTGGATGTAAGGGAGTTGTTCTCGCTTTCCGTTTCTGAGCGACTTTGCAACTTTCCATAGAGGAATACTTGAGTCAAGCATCCCCGAGAGAAAGTCGCTCCATTGCTCATTTCGGAATTCATGAAGAGCATTTCTCACTTCATGAACAAGATTCGTTGCTCTGTGAATGTCACCAGGGTGGCAAGACCTCTTCGCTTGCTTAATTGCAGCTCTTTTGTCAGAAATTTTCTGACGAATGTCTGCAGGGAGAAAAGGTCTGCCGTGTCGTTGTACTGGTAGTACAGCTGCACGCTGCAGAGCCTGCTGAACGGAACTTGTCCACTCCGCTTGAGCAGCATCTACATCGTTTTCATCATCCATGATCGTGATATTGGGGAACTCTCTACGGAGCGACTTGTATAGCTCCCAATCAACCCTTTTCCTTGGAGGAGTTTTTCCTTACAAGGTTTGCTCATTACCCACTTCCAGAACGATAGGAAGTTGATCGCCCGAAATGTCATACATGATTCGAGAAGTGACACTGTATCTACAGTTTCTAGATATCGCGAAGTCAATGACATCTGTTACCTGAATGTGATTAAATGGGTGGTGAGTCGGCTCCTCAGTGCTGTGTATGAGGTAGCCGTTTAGTATCACGTGGTTGTAAAGTCGAATCCCACTGGTGGAATTTAACCTAGAGTGCCATGCTCGATGTTTACAGTTGAAGTCCCCTGCTACAATAAGCGGACCCGAGCAGTCAAACAGCCTGGCACCGCACCTGACATAAACCGATGTGATTTTCAATGAGATAATTCCGGTCATATTCACTACCACGGAAGCTGCCTCGATGCTCTGCATCTCAGCGTTTGTGCTTCTGTAACAGTCAATACCACGTTTTACTAGCGCTGCCAAACCGCCAACTCGTCCAGATAATCTATCAGCGCGAATAACATCATAATTCGGGAAAGCTAGACGATCTCCCGGATTAAGCAATGTTTCCTGCAGCAGAGCCACATCTACGCTTCCATCCAAAAGAGCTTGATGAAATTCCCGTTTTTTGGGAATATCCCTAAGACCCAAACAATTCCAGAAGAGAATTTTGATGAATGCAGGCTGTCTGCTATCGTACCTAGCCATTTAGCGGAAAGATAGCCTGCAATGCCTGAGTGGCGCTTATCAGGGGACTAATAATCTGCTGTAGGGACCTAAGCGCTGAAACAGCTGAGTCTCTTTTCAAGATTCTTGCGTTTGAGTTTTTGTTCCATTTTAGCCATAAGCGAGGTTGGACTAAGCTTAGAACGCAAATGTATTTAGACCACATGTTCTCGCCGCTGGGTATTGTGGCTCACTACAGCTGCAGCACATCTTCCATGGTATGACCTCTTCTTGCAATAATTTATCCGCTTACCCCAATGTATTTTGCTCCACACTATTGTTGACCTCATCATGAATTAAACTCACTGCATTCGTAATTAAAATGGTCGCATATGACCCTTTATTGTCCATTATCAACCTTGATAAAAAAAGGCACTCAAGAACAATCACACCAACAGCAATTACTAAATAAACTAAATGATCACTTGCTGAGTACCAAAATAAGAAACGATTTACTTCTAGTTCGCTGATCGAAATCCGACTCTGTTATTATAAAAATTTACCTTGGTATACACCCGCAGTCATCCTTTCCTCTTTTAAAGTACCGCCGACGACCGTCTAGGCCCAACCCTCGTTTCCTTTTTACCCCCCGTTACCTCAGCAGATGGTTCTCGTGATTGTACTAGCTCTATGCATCTGTACAAAATCCAATATGGCGCCCATAAGGAAAAATACAGTTGATGCTGAAGGGCAAGAGACAAAAAGTAGCAGTGTTAATGTGCAACTTACTTTCAAATTCCACTGCAAATACAGCCAGGCGAAAATTAAAACGTTTTTGGGAAAAATCGGCTTGTTCCGTCTCTCTCCGGAAGGACGAATTTCGAAACTTTCTAAGCGCCATTTTGTTGATTATCTGAATATGCATTTTTTTCATTTTATCGTCGGTCTCCGCACGTAGAGACGTAAATGACAAAAAAAATCTAAAATCGAGTTACGTCGTAATTTCACATATTTTTGTAGTTTCTCACCTCACAAAGTGGCGTAACTGTATATCAGTTCGCTGCTTGGAAATAAATTTCTTTAAAATAGCGTAAGTGATGAAATTCCGAAAAAAATTTCACGTACCGGCTTAAAAAGATTTACGTCTCTGCCTTAAAACTGGGTTTCTGTATTTGACTGATTAGCACGTACCGGCCCATGTGTCTAATAATATGTAAACATAACCTTTAAATATTGTTGTGTTGTTGTGAATGTCGACTTAAGCAAAATATTTATTTTTCTTGTCATTCACTTTTTGTTTGTACTTGTACTAATACTACAGTATATTCAGATAAGAGATAGACCGGACATAAACAAGACCACGTGATCATCGAACGCTGTAACATTCGGCAGGGACGTATTAAGAGTCACGCAGTACATATTTTAGATAGTAGATGCTGCTGTGCGTAACTTTGTAGTAAATTAGCACAATTCGATGTGTATACGATTGGTGATGTGGGGGTGGGGTAAGAAATATATAATGATGTAAATATACATAAGGGTTTCAAAACTTCGGATGCCGCCTGATGTTTGGTGAAATACAGTCGAATATAATCTCAAAATGGCGTTTAAATTAGCCTAAATTAAAAATAATCGTATATCTCTTAAAATTGCTTTTAGAATATTGATTAGTATATTTTTTGATTTCTAGGTAAATATGTAACCAAATTAAAACGTTCAAAACGTAAAAAAATGTGCATGGTTGAACATTGTCAGAAAGTAGATTCTTGAATAGGTCTTGCCAAAATGGGTTCAAAAATGTCAATAATTAATTAAAAAATACAGTAGCTTTATAATTACTTATAACTTACCGAATTTGATGAACGACATCTTTTATTGGAAAGATGAGCTTGATGAGCTTTCATCATCGCTACTGCCTGAAGCACCAACGTCAATAATGAATGGCTCGACTTGTTCCTCTAAAATATTGTCCAGTTCCCACATTCTCTTTTCAACTTTGTCTTTCACGTGCTTAATACAGTTTTCCCAATTTTGCGCTGTTATTAATTCTAGTGCTTCTTTGAAAAGTCCTTTGAGGTCACAAGATTTAAAAGTTGTATTGTGCTTAGCTATATAATTTTTAACCTCTGCCCATATGAGCTCAATGGGATTGAGCTCGCAATGGTATGGAGGTAAACGGAGCACAGTTTTATTTTGACTTGCTGCCATTTCATCAATGGCGTATTTTTTATATTCCGCCTTGTGATCCTTGACAATTCTTAATAATTGTACTTTCAGCATTGCTTCTTCAAAGTTGATATTTTTCGAGCGGAGCCAATTTTGAACATCAACTTTCCTTGAAGCCGTTGTTGGGACCTTCTCCATTCTTCGAGAATGATAAGGCGCATTATCCAACACAATTACTGCGTTTTCCTCTAAGTTCGGTAAAATTTTTGAAAACCACTGTTCAAACGATTCGCCATTCATTTCCTCGTGGTAATCACCAGTTTTCTTAGACTCAAAGCACCACAGACCGTCAACAACAAATCCATCCTCACTGCCAATATGGCAGATAATGAGCCTTTTCCCTTTACCTGGAAATCGAAGTACTAACTGGTGTAGATTTATTTCAATAAGCGAACCTTTTGCAAATGTTTTCATCACATTCAGCGAAAAAACATTGAGACATGAGTATCAGATTGCTATAATTGGGATTATTTAGTCATATTGAAAGAAAGAATATTGAACGTCGTATGATTACTCAGCGCTTCACAATTTAATTTAAAGTTATAAACCTTTAAAAAATGAATGATCAGGAACCTGAAATACCCGCAAATATTAATATTAACAAATTATAACTTTATAAAGCTTAAAGTATGAATTAAAATGATTAGAAATATTAGGAACGGTACACAATATAAAACTTAGTAACTTTTTTCAAGTTTATAATATTCGACATATTTTAAGATTATATTAAAAAATTATTGAAATATCGAAAACACATAAAAACATGGCTTAAAAAAGTTCTAACAAATGAAAATGACATCCACGTATTTTATCGAAAGTTATAAAAGTTTTGTTACTTGTAATATGTTTTATCTGCCCCCTGGAATTAATGTTTAGAACCTTGTTCCCAAGGTTTGAAAAACATCCGATTGTTGTCTATTACTCGTATTTACCTGCTGGATTTTTTAATCCGTTGGACAGTCCATCTAGAAAGGCCCTCCTGGATGAAGTTACAGAATCATCAACCCATACTTTACTTGTAGTGTGTCCTGCGTTTACCCACGTTTCATCAAGGTAATAAATCTTCCTGTTTTGATTTCTATATTTCCCAATTTTTGTTAAATAATCCCTCCTCCATAGCACAATTTCTTCTCTATCCAGTAGTAAACTATTACGACCCCGTTTTTTCCATTTGAAATTTAAATGCTTCAGTAACGCATGGAAAGTTGATCGTTTGAAATTTGGCAACGTTGTATCTCCATTTACCTCCTGCAGTACTTTATCTATAGTAGGTATTTCATTCCTAAAGAAGAATTCATGCACTTTCCTCCTAATCGCATGCTTATCAGCTTCATCCAATGATTTAACAATACTTTTGCGATGTTTACTGGTCATTGGCTCAGAAAAGGTGTGATTTTGTTTGTATTGTCTTAACACATTAAACACTGATGCGCGACACACCCCAACTTTGTGAGAAACCTTCACAACAATTTCTTTGATGGTTGATGCCTCGTTCTCCTCGCGCTCGATCTTATATATATTCAAAATGACCTCTTTCATTTCTGCACTCAGGTGTCTTTTTTTTAGAGCGTTTCCTAGGTGGACTACAGGAGTTTACAACTTCATCGACAGTATCTGTACTACTGGGCATTTTGCGCAAGCAGTTGATAACAATAACAATCAATAACAAGGTATAACAATAACAACGACAAACTCAACAACTTAATAAGATAACAAACGAAAACGTCCAAAGAAATATCAAATTGCAATGATGCACACGACATACGTAACATGTCTGAACCTGAATGTGACTCTGCCTTGATACGACTGCTCTGCCGCTCGGCATAGGCATTTAATTGCGAATTGACCAATGAGGGCTCCTGTTTTACGTCGAGACGGCGGCGTTAGCGTGAAAATCACCCGAACCTTTTGTTTACATCCGGTCTATCTCTTATCTGAATATACTGTATGTAGAGAATAAAACAATACTCATTTTTGAAACAGTATTTTCGATACTTTAATACCCATGTCCAGTTTTAAATAGTTGGCGTAACTACACAATAAAAGAAACAAGAGACGTCACATAGTGGCATAAATGTAGAAAAAATATTTCTCAAAACTCATTTCATTTTTACAAAATCAAACCATCCCAAAACAAAGTTCTGCATAATTTTAGCCTATCAAAAAAACAGCAACGTGCAGACTAAAAAATCAGTATGTCATTTTCAATCTTATTCATTGATGATTTTCGTTTTCTAGCTCTCCTGTAGAATTTGTAAAATCTTAGTTACGTACGGAGGCCGACGTTGTGTACTAAAATGCAGTCTGATGTAAAATATCAAGCTCTACACGATTCTGGTGTCAAAAATGGGAGTTGCTATCCGAGCTTCTAACCTGGACCTCCAAATAATCTCTATAGTCACCATCTAGATTATATTCAGGGCATTCGCATATTTAATAAAAAAAAAGCTCAACCCATAGTGTCTCTTAATAACATGTTGATACTATCAAAAAAGTCATTTGTTCCCTTGAAAAAGTACGGTTTGTCAAAGATCCTCATTGTACAAGGTGTTTTTACAGGGTTTGTCCGGAAAGTAATAGGACTGAGTCGATTTAAAAAAATTTGTTGAGCCAATCGTTAAAATTCTTTAAAAACTTTCAAAATAGGCTCCTTCTGCGTCGATGCAGCGCTGCCAGAGCGATTTCCAAGCATTGAAGGCGTCACGGAAGGCATTCTCCGGAATAACCTTGAGAGCCGCGGTGCATGCTGCTTGGATCCCCTCCGTCCTCTCAAAATGCTTGTCTTTCATCAGCCTTTTCAGGCGAGGAAACAAAAAAAAGTCCGGGAGGCCACATCTGGGCTGTAGGGCGGCTGCGGAAGCGTTGAGATGCCGGCCTTGGTCAGGTAGCTGTTCACCAGAAAGGCGGTGTGAGCCGGGGCGTTGTCGTGGTGCAACTTCCAGTCTTGTCGGACCCGACTGACCCTTCGTTTGAGTCTCCTGAGCACTTCCACGTAAAACTTGGCGTTGACGGTTTGTCCAGGAGGAAGAAATTCATGGTGGACGATGCCTTTGATGTCAAAAAAGACAATGAGCATCGTTTTCAGTTTGGATTTGCTCATTCTTCCCTTTTTTGGGCGAGGAGACGCCGTCGTGTTCCACTCGGAAGAGTGCCTCTTTGTCTCGGGATCATACTCAAAGATCCACGACTCGTCACCTGTGATTACGTTATTCAAAAATTGGGGTCACTTTCACACATGTTCAAATTTTCTTGGCACACTTCCACTCGCCGCAATTTCTGGTCGTCAGTGAGCACTTTTGGGACCATCTTCGCGCACACCTTGCGCATGTTCAAATGCTGTGTCACAATGTCATGAACCCCAGATTTTGGTAAATTTAACATCTGGGCAATTGAACGAATACTTAGTCGACGGTCTGAGTTCAAAACTTTGCGCACACGAGTCACATTATCGGTGTTTGTCGAAGTCGAAGGTATTCCAGCACGGTCTTCATCAGCGACCTCTTCCCGGCCCTCCAGAAAGGCCTGGTGCCACCGAAACACACCACTTCTTGATAAAGCAACACCTGGGTAAGCCTGCTTGATCATATCAAACGCCTCTGTCGCAGATTTACCGAGTTTCACACAGAATTTAATCGCGTACCTCTGCTCTAACGAATGCTGCATTTTCGGCTTGCGCCACTCACAGAAACACGTCACGCGAAAATGTCTGTCCTGACTGTTCAAGTGCTCGGAAACAACTGACCAGCCGCTCATTCGTTAGCTAGGAACGCCTTCTACCGAATCCAGTCGGTGCGCGCACACTCCGAAGTACAGTCATGGCGGAAGAAAATGAGTCCTAGTACTTTCCGAACAAACCCTGTATAATATTCCGAATATACCCCGGAATGTTTACTTCCAGTTTAAAAAGCATCTCGATGAATCCTAACAAATACGAAACGACATGTTATGTTGTTTCTGGGAAAGAAAGCTATATTACTGGATATGTAAATGATGATTCATGTGTGAAAGAAACAGACGAGAATTATTATTTATTTCCAGGGATAACGGCATCTCAAGTACGACGTCTGTCGGAACGAGGAGAAACAACGGGACCCGGCCCTCGCCAGGTGGAGTTTCTAGCGACTCTTTCGCAAGAACCTCAACAAACTGCTGGCGGACGAAGACACTCCGTCGTTACCATCTCCAAGCTGCCCTCATCTCTCTTCGGCAGGAATCGACGGGAGTCGGTGGCAGCGTACCCGTCGTCAAGTAGAATCCTACCTGGCAGGTATTCCTATTAAAATACTAAAATACTACAACAAAACCTAAAGGGCACGTTCATCTGGCATTGACCATACAGCGTTGAACTTATTTTGCAATTACTTAAGTCTTCGTAAGCAAAGCGTTATTCTACATAACAACAGATCTGAGATAACAACAATAACATCACGAGTTCCTCAATGTTCTGTTTTAGGATCGTTGTTATTCATTATACAGGGTGACTTGTAATGTCACGTATTCCTGTTAAGGGGTGATAGATTAGGTCAAAAGCAACCGATTTTGTCCTATCATGTCTTATCCAAAAGTTAACCATTTTTGAGTTATTTGAATTTCAAGTTTTTTATTTTTCATTCCGATTTCAAACGGTTAAAATTGAAATACAAAAAAACTGCATGCTTGATTTTGAGTTTTTTGTTATCGTCGCATAGCCGACATTCCAATAGTTCATAATAAGTAATAAAATGTTGAAAAGCTACTTATTCCATGAAAAATGCAATTTTCTGTAAAAAATCTCCTAGTAATGAAATGTGCAAATTATGTAAATAATATCTCTATCTAACAAGCTTTCATTTGAGGTATTAAGCGTTCAACTATCTGAAGTACATGCAGAGAAACAACAATGACACCCACAGAGGCTGGATTTTTAAGGAATTTGTATTACCTGTTTGAACAAGTCGTTACTGTCCTCAAAGGACTCGCATGCCATGATTGTTTTATGGCATCGGCTCGACGAGGAAACGAGCGAGAAGAGCTGACTTAGTGGAGGAGCGAGAGAGAGAGCTGTTTTATTCATCATTGTAGTTACGCAATCGCCGCACGCCGAGTGAGAATCAGGTTTAGTTGGTATCAACTACTGCGTACGCGCACACGTTTTACGCACGATTATTATTTTCGAGTTTCCCAGTTTATTTCGAGTGGTTTCTTTATCATCATGGCAGACGCAGCAGATTCGCCAGGACCTCGCCATAGCGAGCACCGGCAAACTTTTACAAATGAAGAATACGCAGACATAATGTTCTGTGATGGACTTTGTAACGGCGATTCTGCAGCTGTCCGCCGTGAATATCGGCAACGTTTCCCGAATCGCCGAACACCTCATGTTACTGTGTTTGACTCTGTGAATCGGCGCATCCGCCAAACCGGGCATATTCAAAGGCAACATAGTAATTCTGGTCGACCCCGAGTCTATCCTCCTGAAGATGAAGAGGAAATCCTTCGTGTGTTTCAGGAAGATCCTACTACCCTACTACGTGTACGCGCATTGTGGCTGCTCAGTTGGGTATATCATAATACAAAGTATGGTTTACTGTGCATACTGCAAGATTATACCCTTATCACTACACGCCTATGCATGTGATTGAAGAGGGCGATCCTGCAAGACGATTAGATTTCTGCAGGTACATGTTACATGCGGATACAGAACATCCAGACTATTTTTAGAAAATTCTGTGGGCCGATGAATCGAAGTTTGATATGGACGGGATCACTAACTACCATAATGCTCATTACTGGGCTAATAAAGAAGCTTTAAACACCCGAAAAATAAGACCGACGGGGTCTCAGAGCCGGTTTTCAGTCAATGTGTGGATGGGCATCATTGATGGATATTTAATTGGACCTCATTTTCTGCCCACCAATTTAAATGGAGAAGTGTATGAAGAGTTCTTGAAAAATCACTTGTTTCCATTAATGGAAGACGTCCCATTGGTGACGAGACAAAATATGAGGTTCCAGCACGACGGCTGTCCCGCACACTACAGTAGATTAGTACGGGCGTATTTAGACTATGAATTTACAAATCAATGGATTGGCAGAGGCGGGCCCATTGCCTGGCCAGCAAGAAGCCCAGATCTCACACCGATGGATTACTATGTGTGGGGACATATGAAAAGCCTGGTGTATGATGTTTCGCCCGTACCGACGCGCGATGAATTAATTACAAGGATAATCAGTGCAGCTGACCAAATAAAAAGCCGCTTAACAACTAGAGTTACCAAAAGTGAATTACGTAAGAGAATGCGGGCGTGTATTCGTAACAGGGGATTACAATTTGAGCAGAATCTGTAAAACACTAAAGGAAATGTAATTAAATAAAACTGTAATTAAAATAAAAGCCTTTTATTTATCCTACGTAATTATCGTTCGTACAACTTTACTCATCTTTTTTTAATTTTATGTCTTTGTACTTGAGTTAGTTGTAACTTCTTTACCTCAAATGAAAGCTTGTTAGATAGAGATATTATTTATATAATTTGCACATTTTATTACTAGGAGGTTTTTTACAGAAAATTGTATTTTTATCGAATAAGTTAGTAAAAAAATAAGAAAATCATACATTTCAAAAGCGTAATTTTAAAACTTTTGTAAGTGTTCAACTTTTTATTACTTATTATGAACTATTGGACTGTCCGGTATGCGACGATAACAAAAAACTCAAAATCAAACATGTAGTTTTTTTGTATTTCAAATTTAACCGTCTGAAATCGGAATAAAAAATAAAAAAAATAAAATTCAAATAACTAAAAAACGGTTAACTTCTGGATAGGACATTATAGGACAAAATCGGTTGCTTTTGACCTAATCTAACACCCCTTAACCGGAATACGTGACATTACAAGTCACCCTGTATACACAGCTGATATCTTGAAATCCGTACAGTACTCACACATTCAATCTTATGCTGATCACACGCAGCTTCTGTTTCATTTTGAACCATCTGTTGTGGAACAGGCAAATGATTTAATCAACGCTAACTTACGAACAGTATCTGATAATTGTAAAGAACACAATTTGAAACTAAATCCTGATAAAACGAAGCTTGTGCTTTTCTGTTCTGATCACAAGCGAGAAAACTTGAGCAGTGGTCTGACCCTCTTCTTGAAAGAACTACAACTTTATTTCTCAACTAGCTGTAAGATACTTGGTTTGATCATAGATGACAAGTTACGTTACCGACAATATATTAAAACAATATCTCAGAGGTGTTATATGAAACTGCGAGTACTGTAAGTACATTAATAACTTCAAGACGAGGAAAAAGCTGGCTGAAAGTTTAGTGCTATCAATTATTAGTTACGGTTTGATAGTGTTTTATCCATGCCTGGACTATTCGACTCAAATGCGCCTGCAGAGATTGCAGAATAACTGTTGCCGTTTTGTCTGTAACTTACGTAAATTTGACCACATATTTAATAGTTTCCGGATTCTACAATGGCTTAATATCAATTCTCTGTTCAAATATTTTACCTAACAACATTAAATCGTGTATTATATTCTAAGAATCCTGTATATTTAGTAGAAAAGTAGTCCCTAGGTCAAGTATACATAATGTCAATATAAGACATCAAAACCATTTTACAATGCCTATATGTAACATCACTATTTTATAGATCTTTCACGTATAATGCAGTGTCTCTCTTTAACATCTATGGCAGAAATATTGATATTATCAAATACTAATAACGTCCGTTTCAAACTGCATCTCAGGCAACACCTTCTAGGAATTCAGCATAGGATCAATGAATAAATGCCCTGTGATCAATTACCATTATGTTCTTTTAGTTAGATTCATAGACACACAATCGTTTACTGTATATGTAAAATACCATATTTGTATGTCAAATTAGCATAAAGCTTTAGTCATTAGAAAGGTTGAGAGTCAATAAAGCCGTTTATTATTATTATTATGATTATCCCTTAGGTCCGAATTTACTATTGATCCGCGGGATCTAAAATCTTGATCTGGATCATAATAGACCAATAAGAAGACATCTTTGTAGTATTGGATCAAATGAATATGGTCAATTTCTCTTCTATAGTATCTGTCAAACTAGCAGAAAAAATATACGAGTTGTGTAAGAAGGGCCGCTAAACTCCATATTAAATCAATAAATTCTCTATAAATCACCTGGTTTCGCTACAAAAGCACATTTTTCCAGTTGATCCACACTTGTATTATGTAAAAAACATATAAAACAACAAACAACCCTATAAAACGTCATCTTGCAGACTAGGTAGTTTTCAGGGTGCAAATAGTCATTCCACGTTTGCCCACTAGGATCGTTGTGAGCGTCCATCTATGGAGAAATGGCTCAACTACACGCATTGTTGGTTGCATATGTTTTCTGAAGCCGAGCAGTAGTAGTTTTCATCTCTGAGAAGAAAGTTGGTTGAATAGCAAGATCGCATCTGTATGACTATGTGATATGGTCTGCATGTCTATAAGATCAGTGATATTTCCTCTGTGAGAAAATCATTACTGAATATGCTGCGAATGACGTATATCTATTAGCTGTGCCCGACGGGTTATTTATATGTTGTCCTTTCCGAAGACACGCTATGTTCAGTTATAAATTACGATTGTTTACGTTTTTTTGTGTTGTCAAAAACTTCGATGAGAATTATAGTCTAATCATATTAGCAAATTTCCCCGAAATAATTGTAAAGTCTGGTTGTATTGGTGCAAGTTATTCAAGGGGGTATTTAAATCATGGACGCATAGTGTTGACAGGAACGAAGAAACTATTCTTATAAGATTTTTAGGTATTTATGAGACCTACAAAATGATAGACTACACGTAAGAACGAGGCAGTATTTAGGTTTTGACACTTGTTGTTAATGCGACCTATAATTACACGCAACTACTTGAAATTCTTCAAATCTATAGGATTCATACTTCTAAATAACAACAACAAACTTGAATTATATTGATCGAGCAGTTTTTTGAGAATTTCTAATTGTTTATGCCAAAACACCGGGCATCACTACTAGCTTATTGAGCAATATACACGAGGTTACCTTGCCGGTATGAATCACAAACCATTCCGAATGATAAATGTTATTTTTGTGGGAAAAACAAAGGTTACATTTTTTCTTCTAAACAAGTGCAAACATTTCATATTTGTGAGTAATTTAACAATTGCGCTACGACATTCGAAAAACATACGTTACTGTATACATTCTAAAACAAAGCGGATGTGTCTATCATCTTTTGTTACGAATTACTTA